TAAAGTTTTCGTATTTAGTTTTTTTTTTCATTTATTTCTTATTTTTGAATATTTTTGTTTTTTCTATGAATTTTTAAATGTTTATTTTATTTTTTGTTAAAAATTACTGGGTTTTTATGTTTCATTGTGAAGTTTGAATGTTATTTAAATAGATAATGAAATAATAAAGTTGTTTTATATTATATAAAAAAATAAAACAATAATAAAAAACAATTTATTATAGATAATTTAACAAATATAAATTATTATTAAAAAAATGGGGGTCACACAAAAATTATGAAATACTTGGTGGATCGCAAGTATAAAAAGGTTAAAAACCACTGCTCTAGACCCATTGGCCAATGTTGCATGTCCTAGACCAGCGTTTCTCAAAGTGGGCGATAACGCCCCCTTGTGGGCGCTGGAGGCTTTCAGGGGGGCAGTAGAAGGCTCAAAGAGAATTGGGGGGCGTTAAGGAAATATAGAGGGGCGACGGCAGACAAATTCTATATATAAAAATTCGACGGAATATATATAAAATGTTGACATTTTATATATTTTTTATTTTTTATTGAAGGTCACAACTTGAATATTTCTAACACATTGACTTTTATTTTAGCTCAGCGTTTCTCAAAGTAAGCAATAACGCCCCCTTCTGGCGCGATGAATAGATCTATGATAGAGGCAGGGTATTGAACGGTGACCAAAGGCAAAATTGGGGCTGATAAGAGGAAACTTTGCGTTTAATGGTTTCCAGATGATGAGAACAATGTACAGTAAGGGCACAAAGTGTGAGATTCATAGAAAAGTTTTCCTAAGAATATTTCCAATCCTTTTCTCACACAAGAGAAAATGGGTTGGGGGCGTTGGGTATAACTTTATGGAACAAAGGGGGCAGTGGATCGAAAAAGTTTGAGAATCACTGTCCTAGACTATTCTTTGAGGTAAAAACACAAGTCTGCCTGCCACTCCATCCCTTAGTGAATAAGCATTCCCACCCAACATATTTCCTAGAAAAAGTGCTTGCTAGGAAAATTGCTGCTCTAGTGCCTAATTCCAACCTGGCTGTATCTTCTACTCTGGAAGCAAAGTCTCTTACAATTAGTAGTGTTGGGTCTACACTTACAAATTTGTATCATTTTCTTCAAAATAGATGTGGTCTCTATACCCATCTGTGTCCCATTCTGAGGTAGTCATGCTTGCAAATACATTACTAATTGAAAATGATTGTTCTGTTTCACAAATACTGGGGTTGAGAGAGGAGCTTTGACTAATTACTGAGAACAACTATTTGTTTCAGTGGTAACATTTACTTGCAAGAGCAGGGAATACCTATGGGCTCATCTCTATTGGTCATCTTGGTGTAATTAGTCATGAGAGCCATAGAATTCAAAGTTTTTACATCCCCTTGTATATTTGAGGTATGTTTATGACATTTTGCTTGCATGGGAAGGCTCAGGCTTAGTTACAGGAGTTTGTGATTGCTATCAGCTATTTTCTTGACTATTTCCTTTACTATGAAAGAGGAGAAATATGCAAAGATCTTTTTTAGATCTTCTTGTATATAGATCTCACAACGGCATCTTGCTTTCTATGTATCATAAATTTGATGAATCTCCTTACATTATCCCTTCTACGGCTTTTCGGCTCTCAAGGTACGAGGACATGGCTATTATAATACCAATATGCAGGGCATTCTTATATTCATCCTCCCAATTTCTTGTAGATGATGAGATTTCCCTTCTTAAATCAGCTGTTTGCAGTGCTGGGTATTCTTTAGTCAAGTTCAAACATTTAGTTAACTGGGTCAAACGCATGTTATTTCCACCATCCACTTTGTATTTTAAGAAGGAATTAGTTTTCATAACCCCAGTCATTCTGTACCTGGGTCCTGCTTCATTAGATATTTGTCGAGTCTTCAAAAAATTTTGCTATATTTTGCCACTAGTGCCTCAGCCCATCCTTTGTACGATACTTTGTAATGATAGAGACAAGGTTATACTTTCTGAAAAGTTTGGGATATATTTTTTGCAAAATCTCCTAACTGGGTTGAAACTATCATATATTGGAGCCATTACTAGAATTTTCTGCCTCTGTCTTTCAGAACATCATGATGACGTAGCACACAGCAAGTGTACAACAGAGTTAGCTAAAAAAAAAAAAAAGCAATAGAAAGTAACTTCAAACCAATTTGATTGCAAGTTTCTATTCTAAAATGCTGTGGGGGATCGAAAAACGTTATTTATATGGGAATCACTTTACATCTCATTGTTGTCATTGTGCAACTCTCCACTCTCCCTTGCTGGATATACTGGAGTTGTGGACAACACCTGCTAAGGTTCTAAATCACAGGTTCCTGATAAAATGTTCTGTAGTGATAATATCACCACTGTTTTTTGTCCTTTATTATTTATATACTTTATTTTAATCCATTTATTCTTGATGTTTTATTTTATATTTCATTGTGTATTGTATTAATGTATAATTTTTGTAAACTGTAATGTATAATTTAAATTTCCATACCTGTGCAGGACAAACAATTTTGAATAACGTTGGTTGATGTTTGGATTTTTTTTTTTAATTCAAATGTTTTGTTCTCTGGAGTCTCTAACAATGATTCTGCCTGAAAAGGACAGTTTTATACTATCAAAAGTGCTTGCAAAATAAATCATTTTTGCATAATGTCAACAGACATGATATAGGTGATTCTGTTTATATTAATACTTGGCATGTGTAGCTATTTAAAACTTTAAAAAAAAGTCTTCTCTAATTTCAGTAATAATAACAACAATGAGAGCTTTTCAATATAAGAGGTATTACATTGGAATATACTTTTAACACCTGTTGTAATGAAATACTTTAGATTTGAAATCTAAAACTCGTTGTGTTAAGTAAGGATTTGCTAAATTATTGTGTGTTAATAGAGATGAAATGTTTCACTCTCCTGCTTGAAGAAAAATGACAAAATTCCTCACACTGCATTAGAAGTAATTATTTGATGTACAGTACATAATCATTGACTGCTACATGTACTGTAGCAGTCAATGATTATGTAATCTCATGTAGTTTTTGAACTTGTTTTGACATTTTCTCAAGTTAATCTCGGCATCATTGGGTGGATACCTTAGCTAGAATAATAATAATTAACTCATGTTAGAAGACAATAGTAAAAAATTTTTGTGTAACATTTTTCTAAACAGTAATTGATAAACAAAGTATAATTTCAGCATTCCATTAAGTGGCCTGGCCATTAAAATCTATCTGGTTTTTACTGTATAAAGAAGCACATTTTTTTGAGCAAGTTGGTTGGCAAAGGACAAAAATTTATTGTTACATTGCTTATTTCTGTTTCATTAATACACTACTGGGCAGAGAAAGTGAAATACTATGAGTGTTTCACTTTCTCTGCCCAGTAGTGTAGTAGTAATTATTTATATAACAATAAACTTGAAAATACTTAGTGTTAAAATTATTATTTCATATTTAAGTTTTTACCTTAGTTCATACAGAGATTAAATTGCTGGCAGAAATCAGGGTGAATATCGTCAGTGATATCCTTTCTGGCAAATTTGTTTTTTGACTTACCTCATTTTAATACGAACTTTCCACTATGTTGTCTCATTAGTGATGAATGTTTTTCAAATTTTTTGTGATGACAACAAGATTTAAAAGTAGCAACTATAAATAATGTAATATTTCTAATAATAATTTTATTATTATAATTAATTTTGAAATTTTCTTTTTGGTAAATAAACAGACAAAATAAACATAGCAGATAACAGATGTTTGTTTTTATCTTGTTTTGATATTGTTTGCTGCTGTTTGTGATTGATTGCTCATTTTACTAATATAAACATTGCTTAACCCAATCTTTCAATATTAAGACCACAAGATTGCTGGATTTTACCTGATATAATCAGCTATTTGTTTGTTCATTTTACTATTCAAAAATACATTTTTTGCATTTTGCTTTAGCTTCTGGTAGTGAATGTGTGTTGGAACTAAGCATAAATTCTCTACAATGAATCAATTCTTAAATTTGTGTCATTGGACATTAATCTATATTTAATTTTTTCTGAATTTATTTCAAAATTTGTATTATTATTATGCAGCTAGGTAGCCATTTATCTTTGACACATGAAAATTAGGAAGTATGTTTTTATTTTATTTTTTTCACATATTTTACAATTTTAGCAATAATGAAGTAATTTTAATGTTTGAAATGATATCTCTTAAACCACACAAAAGTAAGTATTATGCTTTCAACAATGTTCTAAAGGTGCAGAGAATATGGTGGGGGATATTGTGCAAAGATTTTGTTTCAATTTTCTGCAGGATATATACTGCCTTAGGTTATCTGTATAAAATTAATAGTAATTGTTTTTTGGACTAGTTACCCATTTTCAGGAGTTCAGAATATAAATCAAAAAGCATTCTTAAAATTAATCTTTTTTCTAATACAAAATTAAATTTTTTTAATATGAAATAAATTTTTGAAGGTAGGTAAAATCCAAAAGTACTGAGTTATGAAATAAAGGCAAAATAAACCATTATCCAGCACAAAAAAGTAAGACAGTTGTCTTAGTTTTTTGTTCTGGATATTGGTGTATTTTGCCTTTATTAAGTATAATCAGTTTTGTGTGGTTGTTTGTATTGAGTTATTGTTCTATGTGCAGTAAACTAGAACTGATTATACAAAGTTCACAATACATTTCTTTTTCCTAGCACTTTCTTTAATTTAACTAACGTTTTTGGCCATTTTAAATGGCCGAAAACATTAGTTAAATTAAAGAAGGTATTGTGAAACTTAGAGTTGTTTTAAAATGTTTTGCTTCAATAAACACATTCTAGATGTATATACAATCATTATAAAACTTCATACAATCATTATATAGTATGAAGTTTTCTAAGTGCTTTGAATGAATTGAAAATTTCTCAGAAATACTTTTTGCTCAAAAATAATGCTCGAAAATAAACTTCTGGACTAGTCCTTCACTTTAAATTTATTATTTCTTTTACAGAGCTAGCATTTTAATTTAAAAAAAAATTCAGAATGAATATGGGTGATAGTTTAGATGACAAACCACCTGCTCCTCCTGTAAGACTGACAAGCACAAGGTAATAATTCTGATATTTATTTTCTATTTTAATCTTTTTAATGTGTGATAGTTTAATGTATATTTAAATGTTTTAGGGAATCAACTGTACCAGTTGATATGAGGCCATTGCCTAAAGAACCAGAGAATGAAGAGAAAAAGAAAGTGAAACTCAAACCATCTAAGAGTAAGTAAAAATAGAGCATGTTTTTAATTTTTGAATAGTAACAAATAATAATTAAAATTTATGCAATAAAATTTTAAAAATATTTAATAGGCTTACATTTAATATTAGATTTGGTTTTATAAAGCAAATGATTTAAAGTTTCATCTAATTATTAATAGTTTTAAGCTAATTTTTTAAAATTTTCAACAATATATAGTATTTAGATAATAAAAAGTAAATTTTATTTTTCTTTAATATTAAACTTTGATATTTTGTCAGAAGATTTAATTATAATCTGTAATAACAATCTCTGTTAATATTCTACAGTTTCACACTGTTCAAAAACAATTTTTAAATGAAGTTTTCATTTTTGAATTGCTGCCAAACATATTTTTAAACTTTTAAATATGATATATATTTTTTGTAATATAAACAATGTAAATGTAATGTTTTATTACTATAGATTTCTTATCTATAGTAATAAAATATTACATTTACATTGTTTGTTTATTATAATTATATTAATTATAATTACAATTGTTTATTATTTCTTTTGTTGTGAATTTTTTGCAAACTTTAACATTTTCAAAAATGTTGTTTTGTCTATATATTAAATACAATGTAAATTGTGTTGAAAAGAAGTATTTATAATGATCTATAATAGTTTATTTTTATATTATAGGATTTTAGATTTTAAAAAAATTGCCAATATTGTGTAGACATTTATTAATACAAAGTATTGATAAATCTGAATGCATGATATTGAACTTTCCTATGAGTCAAAGTATTTTCTTTTTTGTTATTCATTAGTTAATTTTCAAATTAATATTTTGTTTTAAATTTATTGTTGAAATAATTTTTATGTTATTATTATTATAATTAATAAAATCTCTAACAATTTCTTGAATTGTTCTCAATGTGGTACAAATTTAGTATATTAAAAATTTTATGAATTGTGTTTGGCAAGAAGTCAAATATTAAAATTTAAAATGTTTTAAAATGAATTAATAAATAAGTCATTAAGATGATGTTGGTTACTAAAAAAACACATTCATCATCTTATTTTATATATATAATAATATACTATCACTGCACATCGGGTTGTATATAATACAATAAATCTGACTTACTGAACCTATAACCGATGCGTATCACTTTTTCTTTCACAAATCAAACGTTTTCATAACCCCTTCTGGGTTCTTCATCAGGATAACAGCTGGATCAAATAGCGATTTCAAAAAATTTGAATGAATCCCTCAATTCAGTTCAATTCAAATCAAAAAATTTGATTTTTTGATTTGAATTGAATTCAACTCAATTCAACTCAATTCAAAAAATTTGAATGAATTCCATCAGGGATTCATTCAAATTTTTTGAAATCGCTATTCGATCCAGCTGTTATCCTGATGAAGAACCCAGAAGGGGTTATGAAAACGTTTGATTTGTGAAAGAAAAAGTGATATGCATCAGTTATAGGTTCAGTAAATCAGATTTATTGTATTATTTTATATAACTATATATGCTGTATAATAGTAGTATTAGTTATAGTATTTAGGCTAACTATTTTATATACTAAAATATAAACAATATAATTAAAGAATTAACTGAAATAATAACAAAATATTTCTCCGAAATCCTTTAAGTGTTAACATAATTATTCACTGCTGATCTCTTTTTTATAATGAAGCTTGACATAGAAGTTTGGCAATTGTTATATGAAGGGAAAGTTGAAATTAACTGTTATATTCAAAGAAAATATGAAATGACAAATTTTGTTTTAAACATTGTATTATTTATAAGCTAATAAATCATTAAAAATATTTTTTATATATTAGAAAATAAAAATAGTTTTATTTATACATTTTAACTCAAAAGTGTATTTTCAATTTATAACTTGCAATAATTAAATTATTGCGATTAAATGAAGATTATGTATTGTATGTGCATACTTAAATTTACTGATATACACACATATGATATATTATAAGGACCTTGAATAAGTTCTCGCTGTTTTTTTGTGAAAATTAACATTTTATTTAAAAAAAAGTCGTAATAAACACGTCACTGAAAGTATTGTCCATCACTAGCCACTACTTTCTCCAATCGTTCTGGCAGCATTTGAATTCCATGTCGGAAAACGACACGTTTTTTGAGGCTATCCAAGAATCAACCCATTTTTTGGCATCTTCATAAGAACGAAAGTGCTGCTCAGCCAGGCCACGTGACATCGATCGGAACAAGTGATAATCAGAAGGGGCGATGTCTGGTGAATACGGCGGGTGGGGTAGGACTTCCCATTTAAGCGTTTCCAAGTACGTTTTCACCGGTTGTGCAACATGTGGCCGAGCATTGTCATGTTGCAAAATCACTTTGTCGTGTCTCTGCTCATATAGCGGCCGTTTTTCCTTCAATGCTTGGCTCAAACGCATCAATTGTAGTCGATAGCGATCTCCCGTGATAGTTTCGTTTGGTTTGAGCAGCTCGTAATAAACTACACCTAGCTGATCCCACCAAATGCAGAGCAGAAGCTTCGAACCATGGATATTCGGCCTTGCTGACGATGTTGATGCATGACCGGGCTTACCCCACGATTTTCTACGCTTAGGGTTATCGTAGTGTATCCATTTTTCGTCACCCGTCACGATACGATGCAGAAAACCTTTCCTTTTCTGCCGTTGAAGCAGCTGTTCACATGTGAAAAGACGCCGTTCGACATCTCTCGGCTTCAACTCGTACGGCACCCAATGTCCTTGCTTTTGAATCATTCCTAATCCTTTTAAACGTTTCGAAACTGTTGTGTGATCAACTCCTAATGATTCTGCAAGTTCAGCTAGCGTCTGACATGAGTCTTCATGAAGTAATGCCTCTAATTCCTTGTCTTCAAACTTTTTTGGTGCACCAGATCGTTCTTTATCTTCAACATCAAAATCATTATTTTTGAAGCGTCTAAACCAATCTCTGCATGTTGTTTCCGACAGAGCATGGTCGCCGTAAGTCTCAACAAGAATTCTGTGTGCTTCAGCTGCAGATTTTTTTTGAATAAAATAGTGCAATAAAATTCCCCGCAAATACTCTTTTTTTGGCACGAAACTAGACATGTTTAACACAATGAAAAAATAAGTTGTTTACACTTTGGTGAAATGACGTATACTGAATTTCAAGGTCACTTATTGTACTTCCTTACAGATGCGTCACCATCTAAAAATAAACACACGTGGTTCTGGTAACGCCATCTGTTGGAAAACAGCGAGAACTTATTCAAGGTCCTTATATATGGATAAGTTCATGCTGAAAGATAGCATGACAGTTTTTTTGTTTAGTACCAATATAAAATCTCATATGAACTATTATTTGATAATCTTTTGCATAATAACCTCTGAAACATTCATGCTTTTCACATGTAAATTATGCTGGCATTAAATGTGAGTCACTGTATAACTATAAATAAAGTAATTTATGTATAAATATTTATTTTCATTTGATTTATATAGACACATAACAGAAGTATATTTATTAATGTTAAAACAGGATCTGATGAAATGGTTTTGCTTTATTTATTTTTATCATATCATTTACAAATAAACTTTGTTAAGGTTCCATATCTAATTAAATTATATACAGGAAATCCTTGTTCATTTGAAACTAAAGGGATAAAATAATCAGTTTCAAATTAACAAGTTTTAAACTAACAGAGATTTACATATTTCTGTACAATATGCCAAATGCCATGTAATTGATGTAGCTATATTCAGTTTACTTAATAAATTACATGTACAGAACACTTTTTTTTTTAATAATAATTATTATTTTATGAAGGTTCTCACCAAACATCTGCTTGCTGTTTACCTGCCATTTATTAATAATAATAATAATAATAATAATAATAAACTCTCCTGTGGTCACCACCTGGTCGTGGTGGGAGAGCCCAGTAATTTTACTGAACCATAGGGCAATGCAGGCTGGAGCACAAGCTCCTGGTAGGGACACCCATGCCAGTAAGGTCTATGGGGAGAAATGAAGCTAAGAGTGACCACACACCCACATTATGTGGAGATAATCATAATGGTAGTAACCAGATCAAAGTGTGATACCGGCTCGGACGTCGCCCGGGTTAACAAGGTCCGCGTTCGTGGGTTAGGCAGAGGCTCACGTTCGAAAAATAGGCTCCAGTCTCCCTTGGTTACCGGTGGCGAAAGCAGCGCCGGCCCAAGCATGGCTACTGCAATGCCCTCAACAGATGTGAGGAATCAACCTAGCCTTGGTGTTTCTGTGGCAATGCATCCACAGACCACAAAGGCTGGAAAACCACGCCAACGGATGAAATGGACAACAGAAATGAACGAGTTTATCATCCGCACTTACTACACCATCACAAGACTCGAAACAAACATGACAGCATACAGACAACAACTACACCATAGATTCACACAACAATATCCTCACCTCACTGTCACCGAACAAAGGGTTGTTGATCAAAAAAGAACAATTATACACAACAACCTTATCCCACAAACAACACTTGAACTTATCAAACAACAGGTTGCTGATCAAATACATCAACAGACAGAAACATTTAACATTAATGAAGATCACGTAACCTGTCAGGATAATCCAGCAACAAGCATTGATAATAGTACACATACAACAACTACCATTAATGATACTACAGACACTTCCTCATCCATCACTGATAACATAGACATAGATTTAGTTAATACACTCTCACTTATATTTCAGGAAACACTCACTAAATATACAGGTACAGATCCCACACAAAGACCACGAATACCGAAAATCAACACGTCAAAGGTAGTAGGAAAAACACTAAATTATGTAAACACTCACTTACTACCAAACTACATTCATTCAATTTCTACACTCTCAGACATTCATACATTAGTTTATGCTGGGGCAGTCACAGTAGTAACACACCATGGACTGAAAATACACTCACAGACAGACACACACAAAACACAATTCTATCACAAGCCTGCCTGGCAGAGAAGAATAGAAACACAAAT